TGGGCTATCCAAGTTGCCATAAAACCTAACTGTCATTGAGAGTTTGATATGGTGATTTTCTTTTAGAAATATTGTGTTTAGGCTTTATTCACCTGTGTCTTGGTGAATGTGGTAGTGAATATAAGTGTGTGTGCAGTTTCCTGTTCACTGTGCATATTGTGCATTTAAGAGAGGGTTCAAATTGTGTTAGCCATTGGCTATTGGTACAGTAGCAAGTAATGACCCTTGTTTAGTGTTTAGGTTTGCATGTGGTTGGGCCATGTGGGCACAGTTGCTATCTCCTTTAGGATGGCTTAGTTAAAAAAAAATACCCCCAGACCTAAAGCAATAAAAATGGACCACAAAAGAAGAAAATATTCATGGAAATAATTAGACTTTAATAACTAACATTTTAAAAAATGAATAGAAAATAAAAACAAGGGTAGTGAAAAATAAAAAGTAGTGGAGAAAAAACTTGAAAAGAAATGAAATATAAAAGCAATATAAAAAGAAAAGTAGAGAAAGGACAAAAACAAGGGAAGGAAAACAACTGGGAGGTATGGGACAAAACAGTAAACATCATGGAGCTTGCAGGACCCAGAGAAGAGAAAATGTTGGAGACAGGGTGGGTGCTTGATGCATTGGCATGCTCTACTCTCCAGGAACTCCTCAGAAGAAGGTGTGGGGAGGAAACATGAGGGGATGGGACACCCAATTTTAGACAGTTTCTACCAACCTATATGGATTCTGGCATCAGGGCACCTGATCTGGATGTAGTTTTTGCCACCTCAGAGGGTGGATGGGGTCAGGTTGGTTGGTTTTAGAAAGAATTCTTTTGGAACTTCTTGGTCATAAACCGTCTGCCCATCTGACACTGAGTGTGCTACTGGTCTGATGGGGCAGAGTACACACAGGTCTAGACATAGGGTGGTATACCCAGTGCTCTATCCATGAAGGTGTAAGCAGGAACTATGTAAGCAGGTAGGGTATTTATTACTGGCTGAAGGCTGGCCCTGCTTTAATTCACCAGGAAGGTGAGGGAAACAATAAGAGTACTGTACCTTTTTGGTCACCAGCCAACACTGGACACCTGTGTTCTCAATCTGCTTGAAAAGTTCAAAATAGCCTTTTGTTTCAGGCCAACTAAAATTTCACCATTTCCATCTCTTTTTTCTCTTGCCACTTTTGATCAATCTTTTCTCCTCATCATTATTCTAAAGGTTAGGGTTCTAGGATCCTTATTTGTTTCACTTGATCTCTGTTATTGTAGCATGTCTGTCTGGTCCACCATCCAGCTTTTGTACTGATAAAAGATATTGTGGTACAATATTTTGTTCTTGTTCTGCCTTTGACAGCAGGGTAGCACTAGCCTACAGTTTTTAGAAAGGTCTGTAAAGGATTTAGTGGTGATACTTTTTTTCCAAAAAAACATTTGATAGATTTCCCTAGTGAAGTCATTTGGTCTTGAAAATTTTTATTACTAATTCAATCGCTTTACTTGTTACAATCGCTTCACTTGTTACAGGTCTGTTCAGATTTTCTGTTTCCTTAGGTTCATAATGATACTTTGTGTGTTCTTAGGAATTTATGCATTTCCTCTTTGTTACCTACTTTCTGTTGCATTATCCATAGCAAGTAGAGATGGTACAAAGATGTTCACTTTTATTTCTGGTTTTAGTTATGTGGGTTCTTCTCACTTTTGTCAGTCTAGCTCTAGGTTTGTCAGTTTTGCTAATCTTTTTAAAGAGCCAATTTTTGACTTAATTGGTTCAGTTTTATTTTTCTATTCTCTATTTCATTTATTTCTATATAACTATATTTTAAGCCACTAAGGTAAATGATTTTTTATCTGCCAATCATTTCTAAAGATGGAGAGCTGATAAATATCTTCGTTAATTTTTCTAATTTCACTAATCTCTCTTTATTTTGCCTCTTCTCAGGGAAAGACGTATTTATGTACCTTAACGGGTGTATAAAAGAAATAAAAAGCTATTACCTTTTCATTCAAGAAACTTAATAGTATCTCAGAATCCTCTTTTATTTTTAGGACATTTGTTTCTGTTTCTACCCTACACATCTCTTATTATAATTGAAATGTGCTTCCTGGTTTT